GAAATTTTAAATAAGGTATAAGTTTTGAAATTGATAAAATTAATTTAGAGAATTTAATTCGAAAAATTGAAATATTATGTTTTTAAAAAATATATTTTATTTAGATTTCAATCTAATTGTTGGCTAATCCACAATTTCTTATCGTCGTTGGTGCAATGAATGTTGCATGAAAACATTAGATCAGGTGACAGTAGAGCAGATTGGTCAAGCCTGTCGACTAAAATCATCCACTAATAATTCAACACGTGTCCCACGAGTCGGTCAACATCGCAACATAGAATGTCCCACTAAGATGTTTTTTTTTTTGCTCTTTTTTCCCTTGAAAATGGAATTTTTTTGTTTTAAAAAGAATAATATGGTTAAATAATAATCAAAATACAATAACTCAATTTTCATTGAGTAAAAATATTTATTAGTGTAAGGTTGTTTATAATTGTAGTTATATTTATGTTTATAGATAAGTGACAAATTTAATTCAATTAATTGCTCTTGCAATTTTTTTTTAGATTTATATATATATATATATTTAAGTAAATTTAAATTTAAATTTAATATACATGAACATGAATCATTAATTAATTAGACCCGTTTGAATAAAAAAATTCAAATATATATATATATATATTCTTGAATTTTCACATTCTTAATTAACTATAAAATTAAAGAAAAATGGAATATTTATTCTTTGGCCAAACAATATGTATATATTATGTCACGAACATGCATATATATAAATTTGAATTATAAATCATGCTTTTGTTTAAAAGACTATATTATTACTAATATACATGTGTCAATTAACTAAAAAAATGTACATGTTTACTGTACAAATGAAAAATGGGTGTTCTGAAATGTACTAAATAAAAAGAGCTTTTTTTTATTGTTAATTCCTCATTAATTTTCTTGATTTGATGGAAATTACATATATATATATGTATAGATACGAGGGAAGAGTATAATATGGTCATGATTTGCTTCACTCAAGGCTTTTGATATGATCGGTGGAAAATGGACCACATTAACACCCATTTTTTTGTATACACACACATATATTATGAAGAAACATTGTAAGGACGTGTTTGGATGTGAACAGAAGTTATACACATTAATCCAAAAGCTGCATTTAATGAGAAACAATTACAGACCCAATAATTTTGCCCTAGAAAATGATCCTACAAAACAAGCCAGCTCATCATTCAGCTCCCTCAGACAAATATAAGTACACGTCAACCATCTCCCTAGCCAAGAAAGATTATACTAATTAAACAGCCACTTGCTATAATATGTACGCATACAAATACATATATATATATATATATATATTTATGACTAATATAATTTAATTACACATTGAGTTAAATGGGAATAAAATTTATTTAAATATAATATAATATAATAGAACATGGAAAATAATTATGCAGATGGGGCCATATCCTTTTTTTATGTGGATAGACAGCATTAAGTTATAGATAAAAATGTGACACGGACATATGAAAAACAACCAAATGGACCTACACATTCACTCTCCTTAAATTTTTCTTTCAATCCATCACATGGAATGTTCAACCGCACTCCACATCTCTAAAAAATTCTAGGCAAAAAGAGAATTTTTCCTTTTTTCTGTAAAGAAAAATTCCAATCCGAAATTGAATCACGGTCACATGGAGAATATTGAATTTCACTATATATATATATATATACTTGGATACACATGCAGTGTAGTAAATCTTTCTCTAAAAGTTTAAACTACGGTAGGTACTCGTAAATTGCACGTACTCATAATTTTTATTGCATTCTTCTTAAATTTATACGTGTATATATATATGTAATGTTTGTGAGTGTATGGGAAGAAAGTAATCTAAACTCAGAGGACATGTAGAATCTTGTCAGACAACCTAGGGAATGTCTCTCGTATTGTTTCGTCCTGTTTTTTTTCTTTAAATAATGATTGTGACAAAAAAACTAAAAATTGTTTTATTTTGAATTTAATTAATTAAAATTATATATTATTATTATTTAATCGAGTTAATAAAAATTCATTTAATTTTTAAATATATTAATCAGTCTCTATGAATAATTTATTCACCTTAACAATATTCTTATTTGATCAATTTATTTATAGATATCAA